TCCTTGATAAAGACATTTTGGGTGTAGTTTCAGGGACCAAGACTCTATCTGTGTAGTTTCAGGGACCAAGACTCTATCTGTGTAATGAAATCCTTTATAAGTTAAACGGTTTCTAACTTAGTGCTTTCAACAAAATTAAAGAAGACCTAATTAAATTATTAGCTGATAAATCTTTACAAATAATTTTGAATAATAAATCACTGTTATTTTTGGCATCTAATTTGAAAAAAGTTCAAAGAACTGGGAGACTCTGTTTTAATTAAATTCTTTCTATTCCTATATTATTTTTCTGTATAAGGTAACTTATGCTTACATCTATAACAATCAAAACCAGCAATAGAGTAGTAGTAGTACTCTGTTTCATTTTAGACATGAATTAATATTCTTCCATAAGTACCTGAATTAATGAAAAATAAATCCTCATTCATCTCAATAAGAGGTACATTTCTGAAAATGTAGATATTTAGTAATTATCAACTATATTTATTTTGTTTTAATTGTTATATTGTTCAAACTACTTGTATAATAATTATCATGATAACTACAGGAGTGTTTTTTAAGTCTTTGAGCACAAACACTTCTACGTTAGGGTAAAAAACTTATATTAAGGTAAAATTTGGGGGAAATGGAATGAAAAGGAATTCAGGAGGTAAAAAGAAGTATTTTTTTATTGCTAAAGAACTTGTTCATGTATTTTAAAAAACTGTGTACTATGAGATCATACTATACTAATTAGTTTTTCCTGTGTATTTATTTTTTTAGAAATTGGTCATATTCTGTATATTCATATTCTGGCTCTGCCACTCACTAATGATGAGCATTGGGCAGGTCATTTATTTTTCAGGGCCTTCTCTTTTTTCTTCATATAAAATGAGAAAGTTTAACCAGATTGTTTATAGGCCCCCTTTTGTCCCTTATCTTCTATATTTCTGTGACTTAAGACCCAGACATATTTCTTTAGATGACTGAAAACAAAAAGTATCAAAAAATGCATTTCTTTTCTTTTTCCTTCTTTATTTTCCTTCTTCCTTCCTGCCTCTCATCCTTCTTTTCTCCAAATATTACTCACGCCCTGTTGGTACATAGAAAATATTTTATTTTTTGAGGGATTTACTGAAATCGGTCTTGTTATTAATTAATTAATTACAGTAATTCAATGGTTTCCCTTAACCAAAAATAATCAAAGTATTCATGACATCTTGATTTTCCCCAGTAATTGAAATCTGAAAAGCATGCAATAAAGATGATATTTTCTAAAATAAAAGGATCATACTGGCATGATTCTACTTCTTTCTGAGAAAGCTAGAACCTTGAAATAGCTCATCAGAAATAAAACTCTTTGGAAAAGATATATTCACCAGAAAGTCTATAATTGGTGCTGAAGAATATGTATGTAAGGTTTATTAGCACTGCCTTGTGCTATTTTCAAAACAATGCAAGACATGATCTATAAAAATTGTCATTTTAGTAATGAAATGTTCTGGTTTTTCGTATTTGCTATGTTATGAGCAGTGAGAAAAGATCTTGAAATGTTAGTGCTGTGCTTTTCTTTCCTGCGCCACAATTCCATGTAGCAAGTGACTTGAGAAGTGAAGGGAGCAATTTCAGGGAGGGTGGGCGAAGATAGCCTCTTTAGGGAGGGTATGTTTAGGATGAACGTTGAATAATGAAAAGGACCTTGTTATGTAAGACATTTGGAAAGAACAGAAGCTCTCAGGCAAGTACCGGTTTAGCATGTTTTATAAAGATAGACAGTGATGCAATCTCTGCAGGCTCAGGAGTGGGGAGCCTCCTTCACTAAGGAGGTGATGGGGTCTTATAGCCTGATACACAGTAAGTGCTTAAAAGGAATGCTTCCTCTCTCTGACACATCAAAAAAAAGTTTACTACAAATTTAAAGAGAATTTGTTATAAAAAGCTCAGTCATCTACACCTCCAGTTCTGGTTCCCAGGAAAACCACTCTTACAATTTGTTTTTAGTTCTTTTGGCAGTTACTATTCATATCTTTGAATAACATACTTCTAATGTTATTTCTTCATGCATCAATTACAGATATTACCTATTTACTTCCTACAATGACAGATCAGCATTTAGCTCAAGAGAGTTATGGTGATTTTTCTTCCTCTGCTGGTTACCTTTTACCTATAAATAATAACCTTCTATGTTCTATTCCTTCATCTCTTGACTCCCACTTTGTAAGACTTAGATATTATAGACACAATCTTTCCTCTGCTTTTTCTTCCATGTCTCTGCTGGGCACAACCTCCTAGGCATTACAGAACAGAAGTTCAACTCTTTCGAGCATGTCATAGGCCTTTTATGATCTAGGGCCTACATTTTTCATCTGCCATTATCTGCTTTAGCTATACTAACAGCTAACAGTCATACTGCACAATGTACCTACAGTTTTGGGAAACTTTTATGTGCTCTTTGTTTTCTCATTGCCTCATATGTTTTCATCACCTAGAATGGCCTCTCTCTGCAATTCACTGGCAAATCCCATTCATTCATTTTAGCCTATGTGCCACTTTAAAAAATCTTTCCTGGCAGATGCCATTTACTAAATCAACAAATATTTATTGAGTGGCTATTACATGCAAGGCACTGTTCTAGGTGTCAAGGTTATAGTGGTCCAAGACAGACATTCATGAGCTTGCATTCTAGTCACTTAATAAGCAGACTTAATAAAAATAACCACCATCATGAAAAGTACTTGGCATTGGGACTATATTAAATAACTCACACATGCCATTTTAGTTTTCACAACTGTATGAGACTCAAAGAAGATAAAAGTCTTTCCTGAGGTCATTTCCTATAAGTGGTTGAGCTTTTCTCAAACTTAAATCTGACTTCGGAGTTGCTACTCTTAAATTATACTCACTTACTCTGCTCTTATCACTCCTTGTACAGTTCTATCGTAGCATTTGTCATATTGTTTGGAAATTGTGCACAGGGTCCTCATATAAACCACAAAAAAATAAAATAAAAAAATTGACTATTTTTTCAATTTTCTCAGGACAGTATAGTACCAATTTTCTCAGGACAGTATAGTACCATTCTAGATGCACAGGAGAGAAATTAATACATTTCATGCAAGGGGTACCTTAAGGAATTAGGGATTAATTCTCTCTGGGAATCCCAGATTGAGAAACGCTGCTTTGGACTAAAGGCTTCTTAAGGGTGGAGACATCTGCCACATTGTAGGTGCTTGATAAATACTTGTTAAACCTGTTATTCAAACTTTTGTAATCAATAAGTACTCAGTTTTTGGACTGAGAAACCAACTTCATTAGTCCTGCCTTTGGAGGTGGCTTTGCAGCAGGAGCTAAGTACTCAGTCTTATTTTAATAGAATTCCAGGGGTGTTGGGTCCACACTTTGAGAGGCAGTAGACTGCAGTGGTTAATTGCACAGACTCTGCAGCCAGACTACTCAGATTCCAATTCCAATTCTACTGTTTACTTTTTATACAAATTTAAGATGTTATTATTTAATACATGTCTGATACTTTTAGAAGTATTTTACAAATATTACCTGATTTAAACTTTTAACACTTTTATGTAGTAGATACTACTACTCCTGAATAGCTCCATGCCTCAGTTTCCTCCTTTGTTAAATAGCGATGATGACAAGATATTCCATAGGGTTACTGCTAGGATTAAATATATTTTAAAAAATATTTCCTCCTTTCTTCCTTTTTTACATTTACTTTCTTTGTTCATTTTTACTCCTGGCCCTGCATCCTCTTCTATACTGCAAACTGGTTCACCTCCAATGATTATTTTGTGGGTAAAGACGATCTGAATGAGATAGTGGGAAGGTAGTGAGGGAAAGGGTAAGTCATGGTAGATATAACTACAGAATAAGGAAAAGAAGACAGTAAGCTCATCAAATTAGGTATTCCAAAAATGCTACTAACCAAGTGAAGTGGTTGAAAATAAGGCCACAAGTAAGAAGTTTGGTCTTGAAGTCAATCAGCTGAGTTTAAATCTCAGCCGCATGATGAATACCCATACGCCTTTGAGCAAATTACTAAACCATATGAACTCAGTTTCCTCCGAATCTATAAAATGGGGAACAGTACCTACTTCAGAGGGCTGCTCTCAAAATCAGTTAGAGAATCCATTTTATAAACTTAGCACCATGACTGGCACAAGTAAATGCTCAATTAATGTTAGCGGTTTTTTTTTTTTTTTTTTTTTTTTAAATCTCACAGTATAGGGTGAGATGGCCTTAGTAAATGCTTGTCATATGAATGTAATAGCACCACACCCAAAAGAAGAGGATCATTTTAAAAGAAGCAGGGAAAGATGTCCTGGCACTTAATTTTGAACACTGCAAAGACCTTGCCTTTGTGTGGAATTTAGATTGTCACAGTACTGTGCCTCGCAGCAGTAGCTGCTTTATATTTTCAGGAGGAAAAGAAAAGAAGAAAGAAAATGCTTATAAAAATCTATTCTGGGAAAAATTTATTTCGTCCATTATGGTCCCTGTGGAAGACAGTAGGGTCATGCAGTGAGGGAAGTGACCCTCGCAGTGCAGGCGGCACTTGTTCTAAGCGACTCTCCAGATGCTGGTCCACTGGGACAGGGCCGAGCAATGACTAGCCCCGCTATTCCTCGATCCGTCTTTAGGCGAGTCGCGGGGCTAAGTGTGGTGGCAACGGCCTCACCTTGGGGCTTCTGACAAGTCTTTACTGTCTCCCAGATCGTATCCGAGATCTGCGGCCTCACCTTGGGGCTTCTGACAAGTCTTTACTGTCTCCCAGATCGTATCCGAGATCTGCGTCTCCGCCAACAGAGGGTAGTACACATCGTACCCGGCACCAGGCGCCCAGAGGCGCGAGAAGCTCTTCACCTTCGCACGCCAGACGCCCACTAGCACCTCTGCTCTCTTGTCACCCAGCGTTCCAAGATCCGCCCTCAGATTTGAAAGCTGCTTTCGCCAGCGGGTGAGAAACCTACAGCGCAAGCCTGCGGCGCTTCCCAGCGTCGTTCCGGAAGCTCCGCCCACTCCCAGCGTTCCGTGCGGAGCCCTGGCCGCCATTGTTTGAATTTGAAAACTACAAGTTGGTGGTGCTGTTCGCAGGTCGGGCAGGCCAGGCAACGTTTGCAGGTGAGGAGGTGGTCCGGGTGGTGGTGCGAAAGAGGGAGTGGCTGACTGCGCGCATACCAGGCCCGAGACGGGGAAACGGTTGTGGCAGTGAGCACTTTCCCAGGGGGGTTCGTGATGACCCAGAGGGTTACTCTCAGGAACTGGGCTGCAGAGCGATGGGAGCGCCTAGGGCACCTGGTTCGCGTTGGATTGTTGAGCCGTATTACCTTGGTTGGGGTTTAAATTTCGTGTTCACCGTGTATTAGCTGAGTGATGCAAGGCAGTGTGTTTAATCTTTCTGAGCCTCAGTTTACTTCTTTAAAGAGGTAATAATAGTATCTCCTTTTTCCGGTTCTTGTGAAGATAAAACGATAGTGTGTAAAGTTGTTAGGAAGGTGCCAGTGTGTAGTAGGCACTGAATGTTTTCAATCATTAATATTTTTATTATTGTTCTGCTTTTGTTGAGGGGTAGGCCTCTATTGCCAAACTTATTTTCCTGAATCTCCGAGACGAGTACTTTGCTTGGCAGGTGACATGGCCTGTTGTGGCCGTCTGTGCCCCCAGTTTAGAAGGTTTCTACCATCTTATTTCACCTCCTGCTTCAGTGATTCATGCCTGGTACAACTCTAATATTCCTTGCTGAAGGACTAGTTGACACAAGTTCATGACTTAAGCAGTCTTTGCCTAAGGTGATCAAATTCAGGTTTGCTTTTGTTTTTAAAACAAGGTAGCATGTTTGCCTAGAAGCAACGTAGCAGTGTATGTTTTATTAGCTGTCTAAGACCTAACACTGCAGATTCCAAAATAATATAAAGGACTCATCAATTCGTTAATGAAGACTTTTTTTCAGGCTGTATTTTGTTTTGTTGGTGATACTCAGAAACCTCATTCAGTAGCAGATTTTAAAAATTTTTTGCTAGTCTTCAACCATGGAATCTCACTGGAGAGAAGATAAAGATTCAGTTTCTCTGTCATGGCTGCAGCCTTGAGATGAGAAATGAGATCTTGAACCCTACTATTGCTAAAGATAAGATCACTACAAGAGTAGTACCAATTTTTTATTTTTTTTATAGAGGATTTTATTATTATTTAAGTCACTCTACAGGGAGTTTTTATCACTCTTACATTTCCGAATGTGTTGTAGGGGATACAAAGTTATATAAAACGAGGTCCTTGCCCTCAAGAAATTTCTAGTCTAGTTAGGGAGACCACAGGTAACTAGAAGTTAATTAAAAGTACCGGAAGTAATAGTATACCTCAACAATTTTATAATTGTTAAGAGACAGTTTAATCAATGAAAACAGCATATGAACAAATACAATTTACTATAACCTTTTTTTTTAGGTACAAATATTCTTTTTTATTTAGTAATTTGATAAAATCACATTTTTTGAGGGAGGGGAGAACATTAATTGAAGGCAAAGAACGAAGCTTACCTTCAAGTTTTTTGGGCATTTCCATGAAATCTTAGTTATGAAATGTCAAGCCAGTACTTTATGTTTTTGTAACGTTTCCCCTGTTGTTCTAGTTCAGTGGTTATTTTTTACTCTATCAGATACTCGTTTTTTAATTTTCACCCATAAATTGCATATTTGAAATATTATATCAAACTGCATTAAGTAATTTCCCCACTTTCATTACATTACTGATTATACAATAAAAACAAAAGCAATAAAGGTGTTAAATTTGTCTGTATGATTGGTTGATCCTGTAGTTTACTTGGCTTTGTTGAAGGTAAAGGTATAATTTCTTCCTTTTTTTTTTTTTGCAATTTAGAAAAAAACAAAAACCAAAAACAACCTTGTTGTATTGAGTTTTGGGGTTTCACGGTTTATCAAGGAAAAAGATATGACCACAAAGTGGCAAGAGCACACGTGAGAGTTTTATAAGGGTAGCACTTTCACAGGATTTGCATGCAAGAGAAGTTCCCCACAGCATGAAACCTTTGAGACTAGGGTGAAGGACCACCACCCAGAAGGGGAAGAGGGCAGTAGAGCTCGGAGTAGGGAGAGGAGAATCAGGGGACTTAAGGTGTCTTAAGTGATATTACTGAGCAGCACAAGATAGAGTTCCTGGGTCAGAAAGGGCAGCAGTGGCTTAGGGTCTTGATAGTCCTGGGTTTATCTGTGGCTAGCAAATGTTGGATTCAGTTTCGTGAGATGTGCAAAGGAGTTAGGTTATAAATGGCTAAACAGAAGCTAATCTGAGCTATATTAAAAACAAAAGGATGTGTGAAAATTTAGGTTTGGCACCTCAGTGGGCTTTTGAACTAATATTCCTGGCCTGCTGTGGAGAAGTGAACAATGTAAGGCCAATATACAGGGGCCATTTTTGGCTTGTTTATGTAACACCTGTGGATGCCCATTACTACTTTCCTGAGCCAGGAACCTGAGTTTGGGGGTCACTGTTCTGGATATTTCACAGTATTGTCAAAGAACAGTAGAGAACTCTCTTCTTCCCTGGTATTATGCACCTAGTAAATTCTTAGTAAATATTTGAATGTTAATATTTTTTTCAGTTAAGGTTACCCCTATTTACCTTTAAGTTTAGTGACTTGATGTTTTACTTGGTTGTAATATTTTACTGATGCATTATTCCATATTCACCTTTAGTTTTTAAGACTTATTATGTGTCAGGTACTGTTTTGAATATGTTCACATACATTATTTCTCTTTTCACTTGCATTATTTAGACGGATTCAATTGAAAATGTCCAGGTAACTTAGTTTAACTCCTAAATCCTAAAACATTACAAAGTCTGTAAGTAACATTCTTCAGAAGACACCAAATAACTAAAATAACACAAGGTTATAATTTACTCTACCCTTACTATTTGATTTTAGAGAGGATTTCAGGCAGAAACATAAATGTTTTATATTGTCTTACTTTATGGATTACCTTAACTCATGAAGTCTTTTTGAATCAATCCATGGATTGGATCATAAGAATAATAGTGGTAGGCTATGTCCAATAGTATTTGATAGCATGTGTAATAATTTCATCTTTTATTCTTTCCATAGGTCATCATGTTATAGATTAAGCGGTCCAATGTTTTCCTTCTCTGGAAATCTAGTTATGTGTGTGTGGGGGGAAAGTATTGGACTAGATTCAGACTTTTTACACTCTAAGTGGCTTACATGCTGATTTATTAAGGATGTCTAAAGAAGTTGCTATTATTCTTGCAGAATGGAATCTAATTTAAATCAAGATGGAGTGCCTAGACCATCATATGTTTTTAGTGCTGACCCAGTTGCAAGGCCTTCGGAAATAAATTTTGACAGCGTCAAGCTTGATCTCTCTCGTGAATTTTCCTTAGTTGCTTCAACCACTGAGGTAAGTACAAGAAAATTATTATGATTATATGTTTGAGTGGAAATGTATATGGCGCACACACACTTGCAGACAGGTCTTGCTAGACCAGAGCTTTCCAAACTTGTGGGTTTAAGGCAACCTTTTGAAGGGGACCAAAGTTTTGCTATCTCAAGATGAGCCTTTTGAGATATTGATTTTAAGCTGATTATTAAGAAACAAAGGGCTCAGAATCTTTGACCCTTTAACTTTTCTGCCTAAGGTAATTCAGATGGAGAGCCTGCTTTAGGAAGGGAATCTTAGCATATTTACCTTAAGGATTTCACTTTAGCCTAATTTGAATTAAGTATGGTAGACAGGAAGAATCAAGCAGGGGTCTGTTAGATAGAGCCCCCTGTGCCCCATTTTTTTCTGGGTTTGTATAGCAAGAATTTATTTGCTGCATGTGTTCTGCTCTTTTGCCTGTTTCTCCTTTGAAATCTCTGTCCCCCTTCTTTTTCCATGATGGCATATAAGCCTGAACAACCCAATGCCTCTTTGGGGTTTTCATATTCTTATGGACCTTCAAATGTATGTTTGTATAATAAACTTTGGACATTTTCTCCTGTCAGTCTGTCTCTGTTAATTTGATTTTTAGCCCTGTTAGAAGAACTTAGAAGGTAGGGAGAAAATTTTCTTTTTAGCGCCCACACTTCTTATCTCAGTAATTTTTTATGATGCTTTAAATACATAACAGTTTCTTTTAAAGTAATAAGTCCAAACAACTTAATAACTATGACCTAACCTATAGGCATTTGAAAAAAAAATTAAGTAAAAAAATATTTTGATTTCATTTTTCACTTACCATAGTTAATATGACATGCGCCTTCTAGGCACCACATAATTTCTTAAGCTTTGGAATCATAGACATTGCCTCCCTTATTCCTTGTTCCTCATTGTTTTGGTGTAGTACTTTTTATCATAGTAATCACTGAAAAATCTGTCTTCACAAAGATATGACATAAAATAAAATAGTGTGATCCAATATTGACACTATGAACTACTTTGAGCTAATAGTTCATGGTGTCAACATATGTCAGGTGCTATTTTTACCTTCTCAAAAATGTAAAATATTCCACAATGCCCCTAAGAATTTCAGGCCTTAGTTTAAAAAAATTATACAGATTTTTAAAAGGTAAAATAACTTGGTAATATTTAACTCATTTTCTGTTTAGAAAAAATAAGTGCAACTTGCTGCCATCTTTAATTTAATTTTATATAAACCTGCTCTTTGAGGCTGAACAAATCTGACTGGTTTTCAGTCTGGAAATAAAATATAAAACCTGTTCTTGGAATTATTTCTAAACAGAACTTGTCCCTAATCCTATCGTAACAGAAATGTATATATAAATCAAATGAATCTTCGAGAATGACGTTAACATAACATGTAGCAATGCTGTGTCTTCTAGGATTTGATATTTTCAGTGATTGAGAATTACTGTGTTTTGTAAATGGAAAAACCGCTACTAAAAATGGAATGGTATAAATAGAATGATATCATTTGTTTCCAAAGACTATGGATATACTAGAGTGATGCAAAAATAATAATAAAAATAAGCTATTTTGTGGCAGACTTTGGGAGGGTGAGGTTAGGACAGTAATCTGTGAGTTATCTCGGGGTAAACACTGCAGCCCCAAGCGCCACCAGCAAGTATTCTCAGGGCAAATGGGAAATGAGTTAAGTAAAAGTCCTACTACCCTACCTACTACTAATGCAGTGTTTGCTATGTGTCTTTGTAGACTTTTTCTTGTACGTTTAGTCTTCGGTTTATTTATGTTCAGTTTTTACTTTTTAGATTGTTAATTTTGATACTTTAGAGAGAGGGACTAACCCAGTTAATAGTGATGGAAGTGGAAAGGGGAGTATAGGGTATGTAGATAAAAGAATAATATTTAATACCTATCATGTGCAAGCCTTTTTCACTTTGGTTCATTCAATCATGAAGAAAAGAGGAAGGGATAAGTGCCTCTTGGTATATAATGGAATCATATTTATGTAGTCTTTTGTGTCTTCTTTCACTTTATGCAAAGGTCGATAAACTGGTCTCTTTTTGTATTGCCTATTTTTGTAGTGCTTGCAAGCTAAGAATAGTTTTTACAGTTTTAAATGTTTGAAGAAAAAGAATAATATTTGATGACATGAAAATTATATGCTTTTTAAACTTCGCTATCCATAAAGTTTTGTTAGTTAGCATCATACTCATTGGTTTATTTTCTAGGTCTGCTTTTGCACTCATATGGCAGAGTTGAGTAGTTTTGGCAGACTGTAGGGCCTCTATAGCCTAAAATATTAACTATCTAGCTCTTTACAGAAAAAATTTGCTAACCCCTGACTTAGCATGATATTTTTGAGATTGATCATGTATCACATATCAATAATTTGTTAGTTTTTATTGCTAAGTTCATGCATCACATATCAATAATTTGTTAGTTTTTATTGCTAAGTTCATTGTGTAGATATGTCACATTTCCATTACATTACAATTTGATGGACATTGGGTGGTTTCCATTTTAGAGACCTTACAAATAATGCTGCTGTAAATGTTCAGTGTAAGACTTTCTGTGAATTTGTGTTTTCTTTTGTCTTGGTTAACTACTTAGGAATAGAAATTGTGGGTCAAATGGTAAGTACATATTTGAATTCATAAGAAATTGTCAAACTTTTTCCCAAAGTGTCTGTACCAACACCTGCAATGCAGATTTCAGTTCCTCCACCTTTTTGCCAACACTTGGTAATTGTGAGTGTATAGTAGTAAACTTATTGTGTTTTTAGTTTGCATTTTCCTAATGAGCACTTTTTCAAGTAATTCTTGGTCATTACTGCGCCTTCTTTTGTAAAATGTCTTCAAATCATTTCTCCATTTAAAAAAATTAGATTGTGTTATAATTGATCTCTGAGAGGTTTTTATATATAATAAATACATATTCTTTATCAGACAATGGTGTCTTGTTTAGTAGTGTTTTTTTTTTACCCCTCTGGAAACTGTTATAGTTGTTTTAATGGTTATATTTTGTTATCCATCTTGAATTAGTTTTTGTGTATAGTCGATATAGGGATTCACATTGATTTTCTTTTTTTAACTTTCATTTACTTAGTTATTTCAGCATTATAAGACTTTCTCCTGTTAAATTGTTTTAATGCCAATTGACAGTCAAATAACTATGTGTGGATCTATTTTGGAATTGTTCTCTTCCATTGACTTGGCTATTCTTATAACTATACTGCCTTATTTCTGTAGTGCTATAGTAATTCTTGAAATAAGATTGTGTGAATTCTCCAACTTAGCTTTTTAAGGAATATTTTGGCTTTTCTAGGTTCTTTGCATATTCATAAATTTTAGAATTGACTTACTAGTTTTTGCAAAATAGTCTAAATAGTCTATGGAGATATCTGACTGGGATTGTATTGAATCTATGAATCAATTTGGAGAGAACTGACATTTTAATTGAGTATTTTAATCCATGAACATGGTACATTTCTCCATTTATTTAGGTCTTTAAAGTCTTTGCAGTGTTTTAGAGAGGACTTTTATGTCTTTGTTAAATATATTCATAAACATTTTATGGTATTTGATGTGTTGTAAATTATATTTTAATAGCTTTATTGCAGTCTAATTAGATAAACTGCACATACTTGAATTATAAAGTTTTACAAATTTTGACATATTCATAAGACAATCCCTACAATCAGTGAATATTTCCAACACCCATAAGTTTCTCTGTATCTCCTTGTAATCCCTCTCACATCACACTTCCAAATAACTACTATAATCAGTGTTCTGTCAGTATTCATTAGTTTGCACTTTCTAGAATTTTATTTAAATGGAATCGTAAAGTTATGTGCCCTTTTTTGGGCGGGGGGATCTACTTTCATTTACTTGGTATAATTATTTTTAGTTTCATGCACGTTGTGTGTAAAAGTAGTTCATTTCTTTTTATTGTTCGTGGTATGGATGCGCTGCAATTTGTTTATCCATTCACTTGCTGATGGACATTTGTGTTTACAGTTTTTGGCTATTACAAACAAAGCTATGAGTGTTTGTGTACAAATCTTTGTATGGACATATATTTCCTTTTTTTTTTTTCTTGGCTGAATACCTAAGGATGGAATGGCAGGATCATTTTTAAGAAAACACCAAAGTGGTAATAGTATTTTACATTCTCCACAGCAGTAAATGAGAGTTCTAGTTCCTCCACATCCTCACCAACACTTGATGTAGTCAATATTGATTGATTGACTGTCTGACTGGCTTTATTGACTTTTATTTTTTAGAGCTATATAATGTTCACAGCAAAATTGAGCAGAAGGTCTTTTCGTGGCTTAATAGCTCATATCTTTTTAGCACTGAATAATGTTCCATTGTCTATACCACAGTTTATTCATTCATCTGTTGAAGGACATCTTGGTTGCTTTCAAGTTTTGTCAGTTATGATGAAAGCCGAAATAAATATCTGCAGGTTTTTGTGTGGCCATAAGTTTTCAGTTCCTTTGGGTGAATACCAAGGACCACGATTGCTGGATTATTTGGCAAGATTAGTTTTGTAAGTTACTGCTAAACTATCTTCTAAAGTGGCTGTACCATTATACATTCCCACCAGCAACATATGACAGTTCTTGTTCGACATCCTCACCAGCATTTGGTTTTCAGTATTCCAGATTTTGATCATTCTAATAGGTATGTAATGTATATCATTTTAATTTGCATTTCCTTGTTGACATACATTGGGGAACATCTTTTCATGTGCTTGTTTGCCATCCGTATATCTTATTTGATAAGGTATCTATGGAGATCTTTTGCCTATTTTGAAATCAGGTTGTTGTTTTCTTATTGTTGAGTTTTAAGAGTTCTTTATATATTTTGGATAGCAGTTCTTTATTTGATATATCGTTTGCACATATTTTCTACTAGTCTGAGGCTTGTTTTTTCATGCTCTTGTCAACGTCTTTCACAGAACAGAATATTTTAATTTTGGTGAAGTTCAGCTTGTCAATTTTTGATTTCATGCATTGTGCCTTTGGTGTTGAATCTAAAAAGTCATTGCCAAACCTAAGGTCATCGAGATTTTCTAGGACTTTCATAGTTTTGCATTTCGCATTTAGGTTTGTATCCATTTTGAGTTAATTTTTGTGAAGGGTGTAAGATCTTTGTCTAGATTTTTTTGCATATGGATTTCAAGTTGTTCCAGCACCATTTGTCGGAAAGACTGTCTGCTCCAGTGTATTGCCTTTGCTTCTTTTATAAAGGTCACTTGTCTGTAGTCATGGGGATCTATTTCTGGGCTCTCTGTTGTGTTCCTTTGATTCTGTTCTTTTGCCAGCACAACACCATCTTGATTACTGTAACTCTTTAGTGTGTCTTGAAATCAAGTAGTATCAGTCTTCCAACTATTTTCTTCTCTTGCAATTTTATATTGGTTATTCTGGGTAGTCGTTTAATTTTAGCCATTCTAATAGGTATGTATTGGTATCAAATTATTATTTGCATTTACCTAATAATTGATGATGTTTAATGTGTTTTCATGTGCTTGTCTGCCATTTGTGTATCATCTTTGGTGAAGTGTCAATTTAAATCTTTTGCCTATTTTTAAAAATTGGCTTGTTTTCTTACTATTGAATTTTAATTGTTTTTTATATTTTCCTGATACAACTGTTTATCAGCTATATCCTTTGCAAATATTTTCTCCCAGTTCATGGCTTGTCTTTCATCCCTTCGTGTTTTTTGAAGAGCAGAAGTTTTTAATTTTGATGAAGTCCATTTTATCTGTTTATTCTTAGTAGGGATTATGCTTTGGTGTCATATCTAAGAAATCTTTGCCTAACTCAAGACTAAAAAGATTTTTTAAATTTTCTTTTAGAAGTTTTATAGTTTTAGTTTTATGTTTAGTAGGTCTATGATCCATTTTGAGTTAATTTTTATATACAGTGTGAGATGTGAATCCAATTTTTTTTATGCCTGTGGATATTGTTGTTCCAGCACAATTTGTTGAAAAAGATGTTCTTTCGGTACTGCATGTCCTTTGCACCTTTGTCATAAATCAGATGTCCTTATACGTGGGGGTTTATTTCTTAATACTCTATTCTGTTTCATCGATCTGTTTGTCTTTCTGCTAATACTCCACAGTTTTGATTATTGTAGCTCTAAAATAAATGTTGAAATAAGGTAGTGTTAGCCCACCAAATTTCTTTTTCAGAGTTGTTTCGATTATTCTAGGTACTCTGCATTTCTGTGTGAATTTTTAAATGAGCTTGTTAATTGCTACCCACCCCTTCACCCCTACCCCTGCCAAAGCTTCTGAGATTTTGATAGTAATTGCATTGAATCTGTAGAAGAGCTTGTAGAAAATTGACATCTTAACAATATTGAGTCTAGCAAACAGTGAACAAAGGTATATCTCTATTTATTTTGGTCTCTAATATCTCTGAGCAGTATTTTATAGTTTGCAGTGTACAGGTCTTTTGTATCTTTTGTCAGATTTATCCCTAAATATTTCATAATTTTTGATGCTATTGCAAATGGTATTGCTTTTAAAATTGATTTAGACTATTCTCAGTATGTAGAAAAACAATTGATTTTGCATATTAATCTTGTATCTTGCTTCATTGCTAAATAAACTTGATTTAATAGTTCTAATAACATTTTTGTAGATTCTGTAGGATTTTTTTATGTAGATGTTCATGTTGTTTGTGAATAAACATCGTTTTCTTTCTTTACAATCTGGATGGATGCCTTTTTCCTTTCTTTTCTCTCCACTTTCCTCTCCTTTTATTTTTCCTGATTACATTAGCTAAAATCTCTAATACAATGTTGAGCAGAAGTGGTGAGAGCAGAAACTTGTTATTCATCTTGCTACTCAGATTCAGTTTTCCATCTTTAAATATGATGTTAGCTGTAGGTTTTTTGAAAATGCTCTTTATCAGGTTAAGGAAGTTCTCGTCTATTCCAATTTGCTGAGAATTCTTATGAATGAATGTTGAATACATGTCAAATTCAAGTCATCAATCAAATGCTTATTTTTGCATCTGTTAGAGATAAAAGTTTCTTTTCGTTTATTCTTTTAATGAAGATAATTAACCTAATTGATTTTTGAATGCTAAATTGACCTTGCATTCTTACAGTAAACCACTTTTTGTTAGGATATATTATCCTGTTTTATATATTGGCTAATATTTTATTAGGGAATTCTTGCATCCATCTTAATTAGGAATATTGTTCTGTAATTTTTTCTAATGGCATCTTCGTCAGGTTGTGGTTTCAAAGTTGTCAAACTCAAAATTAGTTTAAAAAGTTTCCTTTATCTTTATAAAGAGATTATTGACAATTTGTGTTATATCCTTTAATATTTGAGACAATTTATCAATGAATTACCAAGGCTTGGAGTTTTTTGTGGGACTATTTTGTTTGAATGTAAATTGAATTTTTTTAATAGATAAAGGGTTATTCAGATTTTCTAGTTCTTGCCTGTTTTTACTAAGTTGTGTTTTTCAAGTAATTGTTTCGAGTAATTGTTATGAGATATATTCTTTTTACTTTTTAAAATATTTAAAACATTTCTTTAAAATTATTTTTAAAAATAAACTAGGTTCATTTCTTCCCCAAAGGAAACAGTAAAGAGAATACTATACAGCAAAATATTCTAAATTCATAATGGAATTGAGCATTTGTGTTAATAGACTATTCTGGTTATTTGTGATTTATTCTAGAGTTTATGTGTTACTGCCTTAGAGCCCTGTTATTTGTATTTAGCTATAAAGTGTAGGATTTTATGGAAAAGAAACTTAAAGTATAAATGTAGAAGGTAGAGGAAAGTGAATTTTTGTGTTTTTTTTTTTAAAGATTTTTTTTCTTATAATAGGGTTAAAAACAGAAGAATCACTGTTCACTTAGTGGTTCTGTATAATCTCAGATTGTTAGGTAACAATTAGATATATTAAAGAAAGATCATCTCTGAAAAGCCACATTTTGTATTTCTTTTTTTATATTTTATATTTTTTAAATAGAGCTTTTCTGGTCTTTATTTTTAGGCAAACATTTTGGAATCCAAAGATTATGTCCAAGTTTTTCTTCGAATAAGACCGTTCACACAGTCAGAAAAAGAACATGAATCTGAGGTTTGTGTTAAATTTAATTGGGTTTTAATATTTTACCTTCATTAAACAGACAAAATACCATTGTTTTTATTTATTTATTGTAGGATTATTCTTGTTTGTTTGTTTGTTCTAGGGCTGTGTGTATATGATGGATTCACAGACTGTTCTGCTGAAAGATCCTCAAAGTATAGTTGCTCGATTAAGTGAGAAAACCTCTGGGCAGATGGTACAGAAATTCAGGTTTTCCAAGGTAAAGTACCCTTGTGAAACTGAAGATTTTTCTCTTAAGAAAAAGAGACTTAGGCTAAATTGCTACATAATCGTATATAGCTATATATATATCTTGTCCTTATGGAACTTAGATCTTAGGTACTAGTACTTTTTTCTCAAGAGTCAGAATCAAATTTCAGTTCTGTAAATATATATTGGAAGTGAATAAATCACAATATAGTTATTATGTTTTCCAATTATAATTGATATTCAATATTTATATTGGTTTCAGGTGCAATATAATTCTTAAATTTTTTTTTTTATAAGAAAGATTCATTTTCAGAATTTAGATGAAAATTTGTTTGGCTCAGTTATTTCTATCTTGAGAACTTTATGAGAGTAGATAAACTCAAGTGTGTCTGTGGGAGTTGGGGATGTGGCACCTATTTTAAGAATGAATCTCATAAAATGATCAAAAAGTTTTTTAAAACATGAGAGAGAGTAGAACTCATTGTGAATATTAACTTGAATTTTCTAAAAAGATTTGTTTAAAAAAATGCTTACTTAGGTTTTTGGCCCAGAAACTACACAGAAGGAATTCTTCCAGGGTTGCATTATGCAGCCAGTGAAAGACCTCTTGAAAGGACAGAGTCGGCTGATTTTTACTTATGGGCTAACCAATTCAGGAAAAACATATACATTTCAAGGTAAAATGTTTTATTTTTGCTGAAAAGGAGAAAGGCTCTAATCACTTATTGTCATAATACTTGCATGTAGTAATGTTTCTATTACCTAGTACATTTGCTCCATTTTTTTAATAGTAATAGCATAATTGAATTTATTGTTGATGGCTTTTAATTTACATTGATTTAATTCATTTGCGAAACTACTTTACCCATATGGTAGAGAATTAGGTGATAAAAATTCAGAAAAAGATTGATGTGACATAGTGAGTTAAGCATGGATAACCAAAGAAACACTTTATATTTAATTTTACTTCTATACTTGGTGATTATGGGTGATTGCAAATCTCTGGCCTAATCTGAATGTAAAACTTCAGGTTTTGCATCAAAATAATAGTTGATAAAATGTCCATGAAGACTAGAGTAATAAACTGAGTAATCCTTCAACTTCTCTCACTCTTGAGTTAGCTGTTTACTCTTGCATGTAAAAGAAACCTTGGTAGTCCAGGGACATTTTTGCTTTCCTAATACTCTGAGAGTATAAAACAAAAGTTCTTTCACAGGCACAGAAGAAAATATTGGCATTCTGCCTCGAACTTTGAATGTGTTATTTGATAGTCTTCAGGAGAGACTTTATACAAAAATGAACCTTAAACCACATAGATCCAGAGAATACTTACGGTTATCACCAGAACAAGAGAAAGAAGAAGTTGCTAGCAAAAGTGCATTGCTTCGGCAAGTTAAGGAGGTAGGAAGTATTTTAGTATGTAAAAAAAATATATAAACCTTGACTTTTTGTAAACTCTTTAGTTTGTTTCAGCCCATGTTCGAACAGTGGTGGTGGTAGTGGTAGTCTTTAAAAGGTTGTGTGAAGACATCTCTTCTTATTTTATATTGTACAAATAGCAGAAATGTTTAAACGAAATAAATGTAAATGGTTTTTTGGTTGTTGTAAACAGCATTGTACTTTATGTAATGGTTTAAAAATTTTTTTAATTGTAAAACATGTATACACAATCTAAACAAGAGAATGTGAAAAATAAAAAAATAAAAAGTGAAAATTTATTATAATTTCATTTCTGAAGAGAAAACCCCCATTAACAGATTGGAAAGTATCCTTTATGATTTTTTTTTTTTTATACAGAGCATTCTATATATGCACACACAAACAACAATCATATGTAATTGCATTTATCTTCTTCATATCTTTATATGTATCATACAGTCTTTTAAACAAAATTGAGATTTTACTATATGTACCTTCTGTTCTATAATTTGCTCTTTCATTTAGCACATTTTAAGTCTCTTAATTCATCTCATATAATGTATTTACCTCTTTTCTTAAAATTGGTTTTTCATGAAAAAAATTTGAAATAAGGTTATATTTGTCTATTCCTCCTATTCCTTCTGGATTTTTTATTATGTTTTCTGATATTTATCCTATTCAAGATTGTTAAAAACTATTAACAGTTTTTATAAAATTTTTTGATTATTGGTGGAGATTTTTTAAAGACATTTAGAAATCAGGGTCTCAAGTTAGTAAAAAGTTGTTGATTAATGGAGTTCAAAGTTCAGACTCCATGATTATGGTCGCTGAAAGTAAAATGAGTATTTTGTAAAAAATTATGGAGATTGGCGGATAATTACATAGATAATACATAGAGAAAATTAGTCATTAATAACGAAAAAAATTTTCCCAACAGGTTATCTAGTTAAAACAAATTATTATTTTGCCTATGACATTTAAGATGTTAAAATAACGAGATACTCATTTTCATACATTGATTTTAAGTGTGTTTCTAGAAAGTAATTTGCCAATACTATTAAGAGTGAGAACTTAAAATTTTCTAATACTTTGTCGTCTACCTAAGATTTAGGTATATGTCGTAAGGAAATAATTAGAATGCAGAAGAACAAAATAATATTTTAAGATGTTTATCTTAGTATTATTTTTACTGATAAACCCTTGTAAATGATCTAAATTTTCACTAATAGGGGAATAATTAAGTTATTTCACATTTATTCAGTTATATAGCCACCAAATGTTTATTAATAAATTTTAATTATAGAGAGGATAAACTTAACAGTGTAATAAGTCTAGAGTAAAGAATAGGGGGAAATATACTGAAATATTAGTAGTGATTGCCTCTGAGTGTCAGGAATTATATATGATGATATATTTTTTAATACTCTTCTGTAGTTTCCCAACGTTTTATTATGAAAATGTATTATTTAACTAGAAAAAAAAATTAGTAGACAGAGGTCATTGAATAGAGTAGATGAAAGTCTGTGATTTGATTTTCATTATTTGGATAGGTAATTAATATATTGGTTATTTAAGCTTAACTAAAATGGTTTTTAACTTTTAAAAAATCTTTCTTTTTCAGGTTGTTATACAAAATGACAGTTATGATACTCTTTATGGTAAGGTTTCCTTTCTCACTTACCTTTAAATTGTTGATTATATGAAACGCATTTGAAAAACTTTTAATTTTTGAATCACACCTTGGAATTTAATTTCTTTAATAACATAGTATTATTTGGGAAATGGTACATAGCTATGTAATGTCAGTTATTATAAAGTTTTATTTACATTAAATATCGCAGATATCCCTTTAACTGGTTGTATCTTTTATGTTGAATTAAATGTCATTTACATTTAATTTCAGTTTAGTTCATTAGTATATTTTCAAAAAGAAAAAATAAGAAGAAGACAAACTTTGGTTATTTAACGCATATTTTTTACATCTGCTTTGCTTCAAAAAGTGTTTAACATAGCTGGTCAAAAGATTAAGGGTACTTAGTTTTTTTCAAGTCTAGGAGTCTTGATCTGTCTTGTTTCATTTTTAGTTACTTGCTTAATTTAGTGATTATCCTTTTTTATTTTTTGTAGGAAATTTATCAAACTCTTTGAATATGACAGAGTTTGAAGAATCCATGAAAGATTGTAAACAAGCTAGCTTGAATATGGATAATAATATAAAATTTTCTCTGTGGGTTTCTTTCTTTGAGATTTATAATGAATTTATTTATGACTTGTTTGTTCCTGTGTCATCCAAGTTCCAAAAGAGAAAGATGCTACGCCTTTCCCAAGATGTAAAGGGCTATTCTTTTATAAAAGGTATACTAATGAATGAGTGTGTTTTATTTTATTGCTCTGAAGTTCTTTCTAGGCTTTGTTATAGCTATAGGAAAGCAAACTAGAAAATGAAAAATTTATTACTATTATTAATATCAATATAAGTGAAGTTTGTGCTTTGGAAGTATGTTTTGCTATGTTAATTAAACCTGAATATAAAGGGGTCTATTTTTGTATACATTGTGTTTACTCGAGTATCATTCATTGAATTTTGAGAGATGGGAAAAGCGGTGTGCCATTGGTATTCACATTATTCTGGTGCTTTGTAACTGTCCCAACTTTGGAGATGTGGAAATGTTTTTGTCCTTCCACAGTGATGTCTTTTCAAGCTTTTTAAACCATTACTCACAGTAGATAATAGATACATGTTAATAACATTATCTCCTAATATCTGTGTATGTATATATATGTATGTATGTTTACAACTCAAAAGTCCCTTACTACAAGGAATGTACTTTGATGTTTTCTATATTCTACATCATTTTTACAAAATGCTGGTTATGACTGCATAAATCTGATTTGATAATTCCCTAATGAATTGAATCTGCAGTGTCTCACAGCTAGGTAATTTTGCAGATTTAATCTGTACCGTGTTTTGTTTTTTTCTTTCTTTTTTTCTGGATGTCTAATTCTAACAAATCTTACCTGTTTATAATTTTCTCTTTGGCTGACTCTGTAGAAGAACATTTACTTTGTGTGTTTATGTGACTTAACTACTGGAAAATTATTAAAATATCCTTTTTTGTGTATACCTCTTTTCTAGTGGAATATAGAATAGTTAGCTGAGTTGACTTCATCTAGGGCATGTTATTAAAAGAAAGATTTCATTATATGTCTTTGAGAAAAAAGATTATAAATCTTCAATGAGATTATATTGTACAATAAATACTGTGTTTTTTAAAATTGATATGTATACTTTTTATTTAAAGATCTACAATGGATTCAGGTAGCTGATTCCAAAGAAGCATATAGACTTTTAAAACTAGGAATAAAGCACCAGAGTGTTGCCTTCACAAAACTGAACAATGCTTCTAGTAGAAGGTAAGGAGTCAATCCTATGGTATAAGCCTGAAGCACTCAGAGTATTCTGTGCTATTTTAAGTACAACTAATTTATAATTACAGTAGGTTTTCTGATAAGTTAAATCAATTCATAAGCATGAAAACATTCTATAAACTGAAGAACATTAAACTCATGACTATCAGGACTATTGCTCTAAGAAAAGATTTACTAATTTGCATGAAGTCTCAGGTATTTTTATTCTTTCTTTATATGACTAAGCTCAATATGTTAAGAGTTGCCAATGATAGTGGACTTCTGTGTCTTTTCCACTTAACTCATGAACACAAACACCATATGCATACTGTTAAGACAGAATCTCAAGGGGTTAAGAAAAAGGATGTTTTATGAAAGGGATTAAGGAGTGAGAGACAAGGAAGTAAGTTTAAGCAGTGAGAGATTTAAAACAGATTTTCTCTTAAGGGGAAAAGAGCCCTGTCCCCCATAATTGATATGACACGAGGATAATATATAATTTAAATAAACCTATATTTAGGCCAGATGTGTGCTTTGCTTAAGTTATGTATTCAGAGAATATTAGCTGTACATAGTATTATTTTAACTAATAATATGATCTTTGCAGCAAATTGAGACTATTATAAATGATTCCTTTAGTATAAATTGGGATGTTAAGAAGAGTTGGTTTGAGGGATTTGGAGCTAAATGAAAGGTATGATATTCTTTTAGAAAGGAATATAGTTGACAGTGGCACACTGGATTAAGTACCTGACAGCTATTTGGCAAATGCATTGCTGGAGCTTTGGCTGGTATTAGGATATAAATAGATGTCGATTTAGATGCTCATGTCTCTTATTTAGAGTGCAGAAATTAAAAATGAAAGATAACATTTGATGTTTGTATATTTCTTTTAGTCACAGCATATTCACTATTAGAATTCTACAGATTGAAGATTCTGAAATGCCTCGTGTAGTGCGAGTCAGTGAGTAAGTTGAACATTCTTCAGCTTGTAATTATTTTGAATTGTTTGTTTTTGAAGAACTTCTCAAGTTTTTTTGTTTGTTTATTCAGATTATCTTTATGTGATCTTGCTGGTTCGGAACGAAGCATGAAGACGCAGAATGAAGGTGAAAGGTTAAGAGAAACTGGGAACATCAATACTTCTTTATTGACTCTAGGAAAGTGTATTAATGTTTTGAAGAACAGTGAAAAGTCAAAGTAAGTGTTGCTGAAGGTATTATTTGCATATTAAATATTTAAACTTTCACCTTTGCTAGTTTTAGAAAGTTCTTTTTTGTTTTTAACCTGCTTTTTGTGTAATGACTACAGATTACGGTAAAAATACTCAGAGATCTTGGGTTTTTAAAAGATGATTGAAATAAAAAACAGTATCATTTGATGACAGTGACTCAAAAAGTAACCACAGTATTTTCCATAGCAAATATATATCAACAGACACTTTCCATAATAAACTTACCATGATGCTGGTTTAGCATCTGAAATCACTTTATCCTTACTAGTGCAATGTGTTCTAGATGTGATAGATTTCTGCATTAATTAGCATTTTAGACTGAGTAAATTAGAAATCAGCTTTCATCATTTCTAGTTGTGTTTTATGGCATATATTGTATAACCGTTCTACACTAGAGAACACAACCCAGTTCACTGTGGTTTTCTTAACATTTTGCCTAATGGGTTATTATTACGAGTATTATTATTAGTAGCAGTAATGTTTAAAGAAAACAACATAAATAAACAGAAAAATTACTGTTATAAGTAGAACTAATCACTAATTTAGAATTTAAGTCCATGATAGCTAGATTAATTATTTCTTTGTAAAATTTACCAGCATTCTGATTTCATGAGATTTCTTTTAACTTACGATCATTTGAATATTTTTTCCATAGGTTTCATCAGCATGTGCCTTTCCGGGAAAGTAAACTGACCCACTATTTTCAAAGTTTTTTTAATGGTAAAGGAAAAATATGTATGATTGTCAACATCAGCCAGTGTTGTTTTGCCTATGATGAAACACTCAATGTGTTGAAGTTCTCAGCCATTGCACAAAAAGTAAATATTTTCAAACTTCTGCAGAGTTTATTAAGTATCTTATTAGAATATTAATGATTTTTTTTTCTTGGAGAAGATAATACATTTTGCATTTATAACTGAAACTTAAGAAATAATTGAAAATTGAAAATGTGAACATTTGACCAAGTAGGAGAACATGGGAAAAGATGGAAAGTTACCCCTGTAGTATTAAAATGACCTCAGTATTAAATGTTAACAATAGATACCTGTCACAAATTACGAGTACTATTCTTCCAATAGATTGTCTACTTTTCCATTCTGGTTCATTTGGTTGCTAATCGGGTAGCCCCCTGCTAAGGATAGTACTAAGAACTTAACCCCAAAATTTTCCTATAGTATACATGTGTAATTAGCTTTTTTGTTATTGTAATGTTCATTTAAGGATGCTGATTCCTTTTTGAATGTTTGTTTGCATAGTTTTTATTTTAAACACTTAAATTGTCATTTGACTTACATGTATAAAATTATTTTTAAGTAGACAGTTCTTGCCTTTTCCGTTTTAAAAGTCACATTGGATATTTTAATAGGTTGGTGTTCCAGACATTTTAAATTCCTCTCAGGAGAAGACATTTGGACCTGTCAGACCTTCTCAAGATATATCACCAGATATCAATAATTCAGTTAAAACATTAAATGTAAAAAGATCTACAATTTCATGGGAAAGTAGCCTGGAAGATCTGGTGGAAGACGAAGACTTGATTGAGGATCTCGAAGAAGCTAAAGAAAAACAAAATGTGGAAACCGAACTTACTGATGAAGATCTAGATATAACATTAGAGGAAGATAAGGCTTTCATTAGCCGTGAGGAGAAGAGAGTATGTATTAAGAACTCATACTTCTAAACTTGGTTTCTAATTCTGAAGTTAAGGTTAACAGTTCTTAAGACTCCCTCTTGTCTAATTTTTTTAAACAACACACTAAATTTTTTATATCTCAACTTCATACTTTGAGAAATTTCAAACCGACAGGAATAGTACAATGAATACCCATTTACACTTAACCTGGATTTGCCATTTGTTAACATTTTACTATATTTCCTTTAGTATTCTTTCTATGAGTATTTGAATACACTGTAGACATAATGACACCTTATATCTACTTTAGCACGTATTTCCTAAGAACATAGAGGTTTTTCTCATGATCACAGGTCATTTTCATTCCTAAGCAATTTTAACATTGATGTAGTAATAAAATCTATTATACTGTCCACATTGAGATTTCTCCAGTTTTTCCAGTATGTACTTTATAACTACTTTGTTTTTGATATACAACTTAAGTTAACACATTGCTTTTGATCGTTATTTCTTTAGTTATCTCTAATATAGTATAGATATTTTTTAAAAGTTGACACTAGTTGTCTTACAGAATACCCCCCATCTATATTTGTCTGATGATTTCCTCATGATTCAGGTTTAACACTTTAGGCAAGACTGTTATATAAGTGAAACTGTGAATTTCCCATTGCTTCATATCAGGAGACACATGTCTGATTTCTCCATTCTTGTTGATGCTAAGTTTTGTTCACATGGTTAAGGTATTGTGTTTCAGATCTCTCTTATTGTAAAAGCATAATTATCTGTGGGATGATATTTTGAGACCATGTGAATATCTTGTTCTGCAGTATCTTTTCACCCAGTAAATGTAGCATATTTCATCAAACTTTAACTTTGCAGTCTTAAGTGCAAACACTCAAAATGTCTATCCAGTACCAATTATTCTGTTTCTTCAAAAACATGAATTGCTTGGTTGTCTTACATTTATAGTAAATAAATAAGATTAAACAGCCTTGTTCAAATACAGTTCACACATGTATTTAAGTTGTATTAATCCTGAAATCTAGATCATGTCCACATTAACTGGTCATAACTTTGTATATATACATGGAATCTTCTTGCCAGATACACTGGTAATCTTGTGCTCATGAATGTGTTCTAATGATGTTGATACATCTCACGTCATAGTACTCTTTTGGACTATAGAAGTCCAAGTAGATGGACATTGTATTGGGTTAAATACTCATTTTAATAATTTACTTCAGCGGCCCTGAAAGCCATCATTCCACCCGTGTTGTTTGGAAATGAGCATGAAAACTATAGATGCTATTTAATCCCAGTTTCTCTGGTCACTGTGTGATTGCACCTTGTTTTTCTTGGGCTTCTGTAATATTTCCCTCAGTGACAAAAGGAGCCGTTAATAGTCTTATTTTATTTTGTACCCATCTTAAAGCTAAAGTTTATATATAATGTTAATTAAACTAGAAATGTTAATAATATTTCCGAATTTACTAGAGAAAAATGATGCTATAGTTTATAATGGATAGTGAAAATGTATATCATAACATTGATTAGGTACTTTAAAATAATTTCACCAAAATTGTTTTTAATATTTAACTTTTAAAAATGAAAATGATTAGGTTTATATGCTTTATGTTAGCCTTTTAATTGGAGGATTGGAAGTATTAAAAATCACTGTGGGATATACTGATATTAGCATATTTATGCTTATAGTTCCTTTAAGTAGAAATTTTTTCAGCAAAAACTTTATCAGATGGTAACAGTGATAAACTAAATGTTGAGAATTATTAAACCAATTTCTCAAAGTATACCCACATTCTGTAAGTCTTCCACCATTTCTTCTGCAATAGTTACTATTTTAAATAGTAGGATAGTGTTTAGTTTAACATTATAAAAGTATTATATAATCATGGTGGAGTCTGGAAAAAGAAAAAGAGGGAAAAGATTAAAGATTTCTAATCTACCACTTATGTTAGTGGATTTTTACCATACACCTGTTTTATAACCATATTTTTTTCATTTAAAAATAATTGTGAAAAGATAATTGAATTAATAAAATAAGCCATTATTTATTACATTAGTTGACAGTACCATAATTGAACCAATCTCTTATGTGTAATTATTGAGTTGGGTTTTACTTTAAAAAATTTTAAGTACAACCACTGCTGTAAAACAGCAACACTGTAATAGTCATTCTTACAACCAAAACACTGGGTCTTGTTGTATAATTACTTTCTCAGTATAGGTTCTTAGAAATGAAATCTCAAAGTTAGGATATCTATAGAAACATTTTTAAATATAAAATCGAGACATTGAAAGATCTATACCTTTAAGAGAGTTAATTGGTTAACTTATTGTTAATAAACTTTAACCAAAAACTTTAAAGAATAATAGCTGTTATTTTAATTCTGTAATTTATTACAAATCTATACTGGCCATGTCAAGTGTTAATTGCTTTATTTATTGTCCATATTGCATGATTATATATGTTTTTAAAGGTTATAAAGTTGTTGCTCACAGTCAGATAGTTATAAAAGCCCAATAAGATAAGTATATGTAAATCTCTCTTTGCCATTTTTGAAAGTGTTGCGGGATACTGAGTAACTACTACTCTGTGTAACATTTAGGTGTTAGATTTTGACAGACTAATTTTAAACCCAACCTTAAGCATTTACCACAGATCTGGTTCTTACTTCCCCGCCTATAAAATGTGGATGCTGCTTCCAAGCTCACAGAAGGTTATGTGGAATAATATCAAATATGAACTCCCCAAAGTAGTTCCTGGTGGATAATAGTTGCTCAAATTTTCATTTCCTTTCTTTCTTCTTGTAGCTAGACATTGAGAGATTTTAGTTAACTATATAGGTCTGTTTCTAGAACACGGAGAGGCCCACTTGATTTTTCATATTAATAAATCTCTGCAAATACATAAATTTCAATGACAATATTATTACTGTTAAAAGGGTGCATAATTATAATCAACTAAATGAAAAGTTTTATTTTGAACATTCAGACATTTCTCTCGAGGTATATTTGTTCTTTTATTAGAATTTTAATATTTATGTTTTAGAAACTATTGGATTTAATAGAAGACTTGAAAAAAAAACTGATAAATGAAAGAAAAGAAAAGTTGACATTAGAATTTAAAATTCGTGAAGAGGTGACACAGGAGTTTACTCAATATTTGACTCAACGGGAAGCTGACTTTAAGTAAGTTCTTTCATGTCCTGGTAAAAATTGAGAATTTTATTTATTTGTTTAAATTTTTTTAAACTTATTTTATATTAGGTGTCTTCTGAATTCTGACCTTTATATATAGGCTTGAAAATAGTTGTTACTTAACTCCAGAATTGATTCTGAATTATGTGGATAATTATTTAAATCCGCTTTTAATGTATAAAGTACTTAATCTTAGACATTTAAAACATGGAGTAGTGCTTTTTCTGTTTCTCAATGGGATTCATTTGATTATGCAGGGAAACACTCCTTCAGGAACGAGAGATATTAGAAGAAAATGCTGAATGTCGTTTGGCTATCTTTAAGGATTTGGTTGGTAAAAGTGACACTCAAGAAGAACGAGTGAATCAAGTTTGTACTATGAAAGTTGAAACTGAAGTATGTTAACTGAAATGTTAAAACCATTGAGATTTTTGGTTTAGGATTTTGTGTATCACATCAATGAAGAGAAACATTAATGTACTTTAGAATTAAAAAACTTACTATGTAGCTTTATTAAAATTAAGCATACTTTGTTAGGAATGTCAGCACACATAGTTTAAATATAGTTATTGGACTTGAAAAATTTGTGTCTGTTAAATTTATATTTCATTTGGTTTCGCTTAAATCATAATATTGATTATAGGTAGATAGATTCCTTTTTGTTTAATTATGAATACCCCTCTCAGATATGCTTTAAACTTAAAGAATTTTAAAGATATAAAGGACCTAATGGGCCATTTACTTACTGCTCTGATGAAAACAAAAATGTTTCTGTATAAAAAAGGTTTCTGTTGCAGGCCAACTGACCATTCTCATACTGTTGAAGAAATATTCTTTTCTACTGCTTCCACTGAGGCTGAAATTGATCACATGTTTTTGTTTTTGTTTTTATTGTTTTATTTTTTAATTACTCAAATTAGGGGCCTGGGATGGTGATGTCCAGGCTTTTGCTGTCAAACCATCTTTATGTCTCTGATGTGGTTTGGGTCTTGGTCTGAGTGGTGGAAGTGGAGGTTGGTTTTCTCGGCTGTCCTAACAAAGCCATTTAAGACTCATCATATAATTGAAAGTATACCTGAACTAGATAATTATAATTGTTCTATAATGACTTACCACAGTTTACCACATTGTTTTTATGGGGAAACATGTCATGTTCCATAAAACAGAAAATGAGTAATGGAACACAACTTTTTCATAATTGGAGGTACTTTGACATAATTTATTTAAAAAAATTTCAAGTTGTGAATTTTTTTGCTATGTGTTTTTAAAACTGTCAAAATCAGATGGTAACATACCGTAAGAATGAAAGCCACTGTTAACATTAGGCATGTGGTTTTTGCTATTTTTAGGAAGCACATAATTATGTAGGAATTGAAGATATTATTGATTCTCTTCAAGATGATGTCACTGATATTAAGAAACAGGCTGAAATTGCTCACTTATATATTGCATCTCTTCCTGACCCCCAGGAAGCTATTGCTTGTTTAGAAATAAAGTTTAATCAAGTTAAAGCTGAATTAGCTAAAACCAAAGAAGAATTAATCAAAACCCAGGAAGAGTTAAAAAAGAGAGAAAATGGTAAGTAGATGTATTTTACTCATATTTAAATGATATAAATGCATAAAAAGACAGCTGGTTAGTATAAGAGATTCATGCGGCTTATTTACCATAGTAACCAGAAAATTATTTGATATGGGTAACATAGTTCATATTTTATCATTTTGATGGCTTTATAGTAATTTACTATTAAAAATATTATTTGCCCTCATTTACTTTTAGACTAATATTAGACAGTTGACCTCTAAAAACATAAGGGAAGAACTAAGTATTGGCTTCATTAGCAAATTATGAAATCTCATAGGAAATTGTAAAGCTGTAAATTTTGTTCCATATTCTTTATGAACTCTCTTACTAGTAGATTCTCTTGGCTTGCAGGTTTGGGATAGAGCGACTCTTGTGGAGTGGTCTTAGTCTGTTAGGCTAGTGCTTCATTCCAGCTCTGAGAGCAATATATTCATACATATGTATGACTGTCATATTTGGGTTTTAAGAAAGTTAGATGAAATACTCTATTCTTTCCTCTGTGAAACAAGGTGGGTAGAAAATTGCAGGTAAATGGTGCCTCTCCATTAAAAAGGTACTAGCTAGAAAGGTACTAGCTCCTCTTCTCAAAGTTTTTGCATGTCGTTCATTTTTATTCTGAATGTTGAAAGTGGCTTTTTCAGAAACATTAACCTCTGGTGGTAGAATTAGTAACTGAGTGCTATGTGCTTCTAGTGCTGCCAAAAATTCTTTTTTCTGAATATAACACTAGTTAAAGTGTCTACTATAGCAGCTTGTTTTGTGATTATTCAGCGATATATTTTTTATATGCTTAGATTTCTTTTCACTATTAATTTTTATTTTTTTCAGAATCAGAAATTAACTTAAATTCATTGGTTGAAGAGCTTAAGAAATCTAATGAGGTAATACTTTAAGCTTTATTTTTGTGTTGATAAGGAACTTAATAAATAATTGAAGGAACATGGATTATGACATTTATTTTAAAAATTAAAGTATGAACATGATTTAAAAAATTGAAAAATATGTGTCTTCACCCTCATACCTGTTTTCAGTGATGGTCACTGGAAAGTTTCTTCAGTCCTTCCAGAAAACATTTACTTATAGAGAACACATACATACATACACTTTTTAAAATTTTTGCACAGACGGAATTGTGGTTCTGTCTTTCTTCCTTTAAAAGATGTCTTGGAGATAATTCTACATCAGCACATACAGATCTATGCGCATGGCATCTATTAGATGATTTAAACAGTAGCAGAAGACATCACAGCTACTGTTTAGACAGTTCCTAATCTTTTTTTTTTTTCTAGTTATTAAAATAGTAGATGCTAGTTGTAAAAATTTACTTAATTAAACTATGCAAGATAGAAAATAAAAACGTCCCCTATAATCTTTTTCCTAAAAACCAGTAAGTTTCTTGGTAGCTCTTTTAGACTTTCGCTTTATATATATTTTTTTATAGAACATGTACGATGTACTCTTTTAAGAGCTTTACATATATTAATTTACTTAAATCTCAAAACAACTTTATAATGTAGATACTATTTATTTTTACAGACTTGTCCAGGATTCTACAACTAGAAGTTAGAGAAGCTAGGATTCAAACCCAGACTGATTCTAGATTTCTCTTACCCAATATGCTATATTGCTTCTATTTCTTTTCTTTATATAAATACATGTTATTTTTTAAATAAAAATAAGGTCATGCTATGCATAGTATGTTATCCCTGGTATTTTTGCTTAGTCTTAAACTTTGAAGAAATTCTAAGACCGTATCATATCTGCAGTTTAGTTATCCTAAAATATATTTACTAAACATTACTATTTTTCATATTTTCAAAGAAAATAATAATGCAGAATCAAAGAATTCAAGAATTGAAAGATACGATCGATCAAAAAGAGGATACTATTAACTTTCAAAACCTAAAGTTTCATGTGGGAGACACATTTAAAAGCAGTGGAAGAATTTAACTTTGCATTTGTAAATTACATTAGTATGTTTTGGTTCAAAATAAAATAGCTTAAGACTAGTTTTCTAAGATTGTTAAATTGTTTATTCTGGTGTCGAATTCAGTTTACAATTTACAAATCTGAATTTTTAAGAACTTAAAAGAGGACATTTGACCTCTTTGTACATAAGTAGAAGAATATGAGATGAGAAGAATTTATAGCCTTTGCCAGTTTAAGTCTCAGCTATTTGGAAGAGAAGCTCTGGGGTTAAAGGAGCTTTTGATATGCTTAGATATCCACACATAGTAAAGATGTCTATCTCTGTATCTGTAACCTAATAATATCTATCTATAGAACTATAAATGAAATTCAGTGGAATTATTTTTTTTTTCCCCTTAGAGGCTTGTTTTTATTATATGCTTTTTAGCTAATGTTCATATGCTTAATATCAAAGGTATTTTCTTTAAAAAATTACATTATGTACTGTAGTATGTAAAGCCTTTAAGGGTTTCATAATGGTAAATTTATATGTTTTCATAGTTGGTTTAGTCTAGGATGATTAGCCTGTCTTAATCCTTCTTTAAAACAATGGTTTTTGGTTTTCTTTTTTTTTTTGGTAAGTTACTTCAAGTTACTTTTTAAGTAGAAATGGTATAATATATGGTAATAACGTAATAGGATGAGCACATAATAGCCAAACCTCTTTGCTTTGTTTAGAGATGATTTCGTATATCTTTTTTTTTTTTTTTTTTGGTATATCTTTTCTCTGACCAGAAGAAGCAAGAGGGGTATCTTATCAAAAGTGACTGTTGACTCTCCTTTTTGTCTTGACAGTCAAACTCCAATACCCACCAGCTTCTCTGAATCATCTGAACATTAGGTGGGCTTTGGATACTACAGGGGTTAAATAAGCATTGTAGAAGAGTAGCTTACCTCCTGTCTAACCTCTGTCTTAATAAGCATTGTAGAAGAGTAGCTTACCTCCTGTCTAACCTCTGTCTTCTCTTTTGGTATTAGTTGCATTATTCAATCTGTCTGACTTTTCTATACCTGAACTGGGAAAAACATCCTTGTGATAAGTAGAGAGTAGAGATAAGAAGCATACAATTATTTATTTCAGTTAAGAAACATGTATTCAGTGTCTACTCTGTGCCAAATACTATACCAGTCCCCTTAACGATGCCCCAGTGGGAGAGAAACCACATAAACAGAATAATGAAATGTGCAGTTGTAGTCAGTATGTGCAAGGAGCTGAGAATAGGTTGGGGTTTAGGGAATACTTTCTGGAGATTAAAATCATTAAGTTGAGTCTTAAAGAGTGAATAAAATTTAACCAGTTCAAAGTAAGCAGAGGTTGTAGTTTGTAGCCACAAGGGACAAGAATATATACTGACCTTCCACGTATGGGAGTCAGAATGCAGTCATGCAAATGAGAAGCCTCTCAGTCAGGAAAGTACAAGCAATTTGTTATTCGAGAAAGTTTGAATGAAGGAGAGGTGAGACGTGAGGGCAGGGAGCAGTAGATTGGGATAAGATGGTGGAACGCCGTCAATACTGCATTAGAGTTTGGGTTTTATTTTGTAGGCAGTGAGGAGTCACTAAGTTTATTTTCTTAATTTTGAGTAGATGTTTTTGGAAACTTGGAGGACGAGATTGATATGGAGTTACACTGGAGGCAGACCAGTTAGAAGCCTCTTGGAAGAGTTCACGTGATCGTTGATTTAGGGTAGTTGGGTAGTGGTGGTAGAAATTAAGGAGAGGAAATTGATTTGTGAAATAAGTGGGAGTAAACTTTTTGGGGCTTGGAACTAGGCCTTGAGGCTCTTAGCACTTTTATTTGGTTATTCTCCACATGCTTTTGCTCTGATCACTTGATTTGGATTTTAAGTCTGATCTTTGATTTGGTGGAGGAAAATGAAAACAAGAAAAAAAAGCCAGAGACATCATTCTGGTGACTACAACTTTGAAGACAATTGTTGGAAATTTAACAAAGAATTATATTTATTCTGTAATATGCTTGCATACCATAATATTAGTGATGTTTAAATAATAATAAGCAATATAAAATAAGCAATATTCTTAATTTAATAGTCTTGGTTTAAAAATAAATTTTTTAGATAGGCTCTATACTTTATATCAACTAACTTAAAACAGTGCTAAATTGTTCACATAATACATAAATAAATGTGAAGTAGTTTGTAACTTAACCTGACCCTGCTGATGAACTGTTGATGTACGGTCACTGTTGCAAGCTTGTCTTGAAAGCAAATTTTTTCTAATCATGAAAAGGTTTATTTTGAATGGTGGTTATTTATTGTCCTTCTAACCAAGCATAACCTCGGGGCAGAGAACACTCCTTTCAATAACTGAGTTGTGTAGCATAGGTTTTTTTGGTGAAGATTGTATCATTTAAAGGAGGAAAAAAATTGACCAGGTCATTATGATGGGTCTAGAAGTGGTGAAAGAGACAATGTGAACTATGATGTAGTTGAAAATTCTCAAGCTTTGTCAGAGGTATGATCTATTTGTCCCAGGATTTTGTCATTTATTAATGACACCAAGGTACTGATAGAAAGCATGGAGGTTGTTCTTCATGACATCCTCTGTTTAGGGTGCCTTTTTTTTTTGTTTTTTATAACCCATAACTTGATGACTTAAAAAAAATAATTTCATCTATATCTCTTAAGAATAAAATGTTTGCTGATTTTATAATGTAAAATGGCATTTTGTTTTTTCATACACTTTTTCCCCCCAAAATGGATTGCTACCAGTATATATGGATTTAAGTAATCTCTGCATAAAAAAAAAAAAAAAATCCCTGCCTTTCCTGTACCTTTGATTACTTTATAGACTTGAACTTAACTGCTGAGTTTTACTTCCTTTTTCTGAATAAGACTACATGCCTCTTTTCTGCTAGACTTTTAGGGAGGCATAATATTTGCCTTAAAAAAATGAAAACCTAAATGATTTTTATCATTTAGATGAACTAAGAACACAATTTTAAAGCTGTATGTTGACTATATCTTTGTACGTAGATAGGCTAGAGGCTAAGGCCAAAGCTTTCTGGGAGTTCTTAAAGTGTAAGAGTGCTGCTTATCTCTGAGAAGCTTTGGTTACAAAATAAAGACAATTGTTGGGTTTCTAGAGTGGGGTCTCAAAATTTTACATTATTTCAGTATTTTTGTAGTTTTCTTTTCAAAGCACATTATGAATGTGACTTAGAGGTAAGTGTTTTAGGGTTCTGTAGTTATCCCCAAACAAGTCTCTAACCCACATGATCACCTTAAGGAAATCCGAAGATGAATTTGTTTTTGTATCAGGATGAAACTACTCACTTAATTGATTTTAAGACAGATTTTTTTGTCTTCCTTAGTGTGTACACATTAGTTAAAATTACTCAATTGCCAGAGCCATCAGTTATTTTAGGGTGAGACATAAATAACTTAGAAAATGTCTTAACAAGTTTGAAAATAAAATTTTTATGATACACTATTGAAACATAATTTATAGTTTTTACATTTATTGTAGCTTTCTGTATGTGAACTAATCTGAATTTATTTTATTTTAGGACAAAGCTGGTACATCTTTAATAATAAACAAATTGGCTTATAATGAAACAGTTGAAATGTCCACAGACAGCAAAACTGTAACTTATTCAGGAAGAAAAAGATTAAATGAAAATGAACTTCAACCACCAGCAAAGAAAGGTACTAATTTACTTGCCAATAAGAGGCCCTTGGAGTTAATTTCTAAACCAGTAAACAGAAAAGTTGCAAGAGGAAGAAATTTACTTGTCTAAGGGAAAAATCTGAGGAAATTTAACTATCACTAATATTTTCGCTAACATGTTATAAACTGTCTAGAGGATGGATGTTTTTAATGCTGCCTTTTATTATAATACATATATTTTTAGATATTGTGCTTTTTGTCACTTTTGCATGTCTTTAATTCTTTTACTTCTGAGCTTATAATAGTTAAAACATACCACTTTTATTTTTATAATTTTAGTACCTTTTTTTGCCAAAATCTCTCCACATTGTTTTTTCCCTTGCGTTCTTTATTTGGGGAAAAAGACATTTGACAAAAAGACTTTGAGCTAAATATTACTAATGACAAATGTTCTTGTATTTACTATAGAATTTCTAAAGAAAAAAAGTGGGTGCATACTTACTCTTTACTATTAAATCTCCCTGATTATGTGGAAGAACATATCAACTTTTACATTCTTTCTAAGCTATTTCCTTTGCAAAACTTTTGTAGTATGATACAGGGAAGTATGGCTTTCTAAGAGAAAGTACATTAGCTTTAGAATCCCGACTAGCTGCCTCACCTTGAGAATAATGTGGTAAGTTAAATATTACTTTGGTCACTAGTAAAATAAAATTAATAAATAATACCTGCTTCTTGACAAGGATGAAAACGATTGGGTAATACACTAACATATAAACACCTCATAGAACCTCAGTAAAATGTTTTCAAAAGTAGGTACCTTAAAGTATAACATTGGATACATGGTTTATAGGATATACAGTGCTTGTATGAGTTAATATGCACATTTGAGACTAATGTGCATATACCTTCTGTTATTCGTTGAAGGAGAGGTACTTTGCTATTGGTTCTTTATTTTAAAATTTTCAGTTTCAGTTGACATATATTAGTTTCAGGTATACAACATAGTGGTTAGACATTTATATAACTTACGGAGTGATCGTCCTTTGTATCCTGCTTCTTAGAATATAGTAAAATTAAGGGCACAACATTACTTGATCACAGAAGCTTTCTGTATTCACTTCAGGGGGTTAGGAACTGTATCTATGTAGTATGCATATCAGATTATGAATTTGCATGTATCTAGGACCAATATAGGTTACTGATTGCAAAAATTCTGTTTTTCTGGTACGGTGATATATCTCAGAGATAGGAAAGGAGAACATAGATGATGTAGCTAAATTTAAAAAATATTTAATTTAGGATTATTGTCCAGGTATGTTAAGATGAGTAAGACATAGACAATCTGCTATCAGGGAGTTTGGAATCTAGTAGATGAGAGCGACAAACATTTTTTCCATGTAATATAATGCACTGATATGCATAGAATAACATGAAGGACTCACTAAAATAAGAATTGTAAAATATGCCTTTTATATTCATTGGACCTATACTAACTGAAAGTAATAGGTTTCTTAACAAGGAGAATTTCAAGCCAACCCTCTCTTATAACTTTTTCTTGTGTGGATTAGTACTGCTTATTTTTCATATTATATCTGGAACTTTTAAGCATTAAGAATTTAACTCCTATGTTGATTTCACCTATAATCGTATAAGTGAAATCAACAATTAAATGGTCAATAGGGGAGTGATTAAAGGTTGAAAGGACATACAGAGTTGATTATATCAGAGCAATATTGTGTAGAAAGTTCACATATAAAGATCAAACCATGAAGTTAAATAGAACAGGGGAAAAAATTTTAAGCCCATAGAGTTACAGATTCTTAATATTTTGAAGTAATTTTCCTAGGCTGTGAGATCCTAAAGAGACCCTGATCATAGTAATGGAAAATGTGTGAAAACCTAAAAAGATAAACTTGTTTATCTAGAGGATTGAGAATTATGTTGAAGATTTAATCATACAGTCTATGAGAAAAACTTGAACATAATTTTTTCTTGTGTGAGGTGAATTAATTTGTCAAAATGAACATTAAGAAATTAAGTTTTAGCTGATAGTGCGTCTACTCTGGGCATAGTTTAATCTATACCAAGTATGATTGTTAAAATTCTATTTATATAACATTTATAAAATGCGTTAACATACTTTATATACTCTCTGGGCTTCTTACCACTATGCTATAAAGTAAGTAAGGCAGGTAGAAATATTCTTAATCTAGAATGTAGTTATTGAGCCTGATAAAAAAGCAAGCTTTGTATTCAGTTTTAATTAACTGAACTCTTCTGTATAGTTTTTTAGGCTCTAATAATAGCTAACAGTATCCTAAGAATAGTGTTCTAAGCTCATTTTTTATCTTGACCGTCACAATAATAAGATAGGTGATAGTATTTCCATTTTACATTTGACAAAGCAGTTATAGGATTAAGGAGTTTATTGATATTTACACAGATAATGAGGGTAACGCTACATTAGATTTCCCAGAATTTTAAGCAATTTTTTCCTAATTTTAGCTATGAAAATTTAAGACACTTCATTTTCAAACCACTAATTTAGTAGGTCTGTCATAATTGTACTTTAAAATTGTTCTTTAGGATACGGAATGTCTGTCTTATATTATCTCATTATGTGATCTCCCCTCTGTACCATGTTATAATGATAATAAAGATGTGTGGTAGAGAATTTAAATGATACTGAAAGTCATAAAAAGAAAGTATAAATAACTGGTAATCCTACTCAGAGGTAGCTGCTGTCATTTTGGTTTACTTCCTTTGCTAACTCTATCTGCATTAAGGTACAGAACTATAATTTTTACATTAATGGGCTTATACCATGTATGTTTCACAGCCTATTTTTTTCTTTTTCATTCATTAGTTTATTTCTGTTTTTCGTTAAAAGTTTGCTTTCATGTTTCATATGTTTGAATATTGGCTTATCTGGTAACTTTTTGGTTTTATTAAGATTTGTCAGATTAATAAAAATTTTCTTATTTTTAAAGGACCTATACATGTTAGTCCAACTATCACTGAAGACCAAAAGAAAAGTGAAGAAATGCAACAGAGCATTTCAGAAGATGAGGAAAACTTTAGAATTTTACCAGAAAATAATGATAATGAAGAGCTGAAAACACAATTACTCCTTGTTGAGAATGAACTTAGAAATGAAAAGGAAGAAAAAGCAGAATTAAATAAACAGATTGTTAGTTTGCAGCAGGAACTTAATTTTTCTGAGAAAAAGAGCTTTTCTTTAAGTACAGCAGTCCAACAAATTCAGTCAAATTATGACAGTGTAATTTCTGAGTTACATGTACAGAGAGGTATAAATCAAGAACAGGAGGAAAAGATCATGAAATTGTCAAAGGAGATAGAAATCACTAGAAGAAACATCACAAATAATGTTTCACAAATAAAATTAATACAAGCAAAAATAGATGAACTACGAACACTTGATCCAGTGTCTCAGGTTTCAAACATAGATTTACTCAGTCTTTGGGATCTATCAAGCAGTTCTCAAGAGGATAATTTGCCAAATACACAGTTATATCTTTTGGATAATGATTATTTGGTAAGTAAACAGGTTAAAGAATATAAAGAATTCAGTAGGCAAAGTTCTTTCCACTGTAGTATTGAAGCCATTTGGAAAGAATGTAAGGAGATTGTAAAGGCCTCCTCTAAAAAAAGTCATCAGATCCAGGAACTGGAACAACAAATTGAAAAGTTACAAGCAGAAGTAAAAACCTATGAGGATGAAAATAAGAGACTAAATACAGAGGCTAGGAAGAATAAAAATCAAAATGACCTACTAAAAGAAAAAGAAAATCTTATTCATCAACTGAAAGAAGAATTGCAAGAAAAAAATGTTAATCTTGATGTTCAAGTACAGCATGTACTTGAAGGAAAGCGAGCACTTTCAGAACTTACACAAGATGTTACTTGCTATAAAGTGAAAATAAAGGAACTTGAAACAATCTTAGAAACTCAGAAAGATGAGTGTAGTCGTTCAGCAAAGTTAGAACAAGAAATTTTGGAAAAGGACTCTATTATCTTGAAGCTAGAAGAAAATCTGAAGGAATTTCAAGCAAATCTTCAGGATTGTACCAAAAAAACCAAAGATTTAAATGAAAGGGAAGTCAGATTAAAAGAAGAAATCACACAATTAACAAATAATTTGCAAGATGCAAAGCATTCACTTCAATTAAAGGAAGAAGAAAAAGAAACCAACTGGAGAGAAACAGAAAAGTAAGCTAAATGTTATTCAAATATTTAAAATGTGCAAAGCATTCATGTTGATTTTCTCATGTAGCTTCTAAATAATTTGGACATAACAGTCTGGTAAAGTATAGCATAAGTGATGAATGAAGAACTTGAACTTTGTTTATATAAACCTTTGGAAACAAAGTTCTATGCAGAAATCTTTTTATGAAATCTGAAATCTTCCTAAGGGCTCATTTATGGTTTGGAAATTCCAAATTTGTGAAAAGATGTAATTTTGTAGACTGTCACTAGTTCACACGTATGATCCCAACTTATCAGTGGTGTGTCACTATAGAAAAGTGGTTTGTGTTTTATAGGTTGAAAGAGGAGCTCTCTGCAAGTTCTGCTCTTATCCAGAATCTGAAAGCAGATATTCAGAGGAAGGAAGAAGATAATGCTGAGCTGAAAGAGAAACTGGCTGATGCTAAAAAGCAGATTAAGCAAGTACAGAAAGAGGTAGGCTACCCATTTAAATGATAAAAATGATTTTCCTTATATGTCAAATTTAGGCACTGATTTTAGGATTGAATACGTTTGTCACCTTTAAAATTTTTCTGAAAATAACAGTTATTTCACAAAAGAAAACTTAATCAGTTTAAACAAACTAAAGAATCTGTCAAACATTAAAAATAAGTATGTGCCTCATGGAGGATTGGAATCTTGTTTCTCTTAAGGACTTCTATGTTCCAGTTTCCCACCTAAAGGTAAAAGCAAACTTAAAATGCAGATAGTATTTAGGAGAGTATGCAGTACCATTGTAACAAATTTTTATTATAGTTTAATTTTAAAATAGGAAATACAGTCAAATGATTCTAAAATCAAAATATACGAAAGTAATATACATTGAGGGAAAAACACCTTCCACCTCTTCCAGCCATCAAGTTTCTTTCCAAAGCATCAAATGTTGTCAGTTACTTTCTTTTTACTTTTACCCCTTCTATCCTTTCTCTTCTTATAAAAAATAAAAACGTCCTGTAAATGCTATTGTAAACGTCAGTTTTTTTCATTTAGAATTATATCTTGACTGTCATTTTATGTCAGGATATATAAAGTCTCCAAAAAAGCTTTTTTATGATGACCAAATGTGTTTACGATTAGTTAATTGTCTCCTGTTTTTGGACAATTCAGATAATTCCTACTCTGCCGATTCAAATTATGTGGCAGTGTCATTTTGAACATTTGCAAGTCTTTCTGTGGTATAATTCCTAAAAGTGGGATTTATGGGTCAGTGGTTTATTTATACATTTGTAATTTTTATATTTTTTATGCTCTTTGGAGGTTATGCCAATTTACACACCAGAAGTATGTATGAGAATTAAGAGAGTATCTTTTTCTCTACACCCTTATCTACAAAGTAGTATTTTATCATACTTTTTGATATTTGCTAATTTAACAGGTAATGTATCTGACTATAATTCTTATTCGCATTTCATTAATTATTAGTGAAGATATTTTTGTTGAAAAGCTGTTTGTATTTTTTGTTTCCATGAATTGTATTCATATCCTTTGCCTTTTTAGTTTGGGTTATTGGCTTTATTGTTATTGCTTTATAAGAGCTTATTACATATTCAGGAAATTTAGTCTTTTAAGGATATAAATTGCATATTCCTCCACCACTTTAGCCATTTTTTCTGATTTTGATTATGGTTATTTTTTGCATTGGAGCAAATTTTGATTTTCATAAATTTAAACATATTTTTCTTTTATGACTGCTTTATTTTATGTTGTACTAGACTTTTTCTAAAAGCTGAAACAGTTTTAAAGAATTACATTTTTTATTACTATGAGTTAGTTAACAAAAGAATACTTAATGTGTAAGATCTAAAAAAATTGATACAAGAAATGCTTGTAGGTCCCATCCCTACTCTGTTTCTACCCCCACAGAAGTTTATACTGAAAGTTTTATGTTTCTCTTTTTCGTAACTTTAAAAAATATAATTGAAACCATAGTTTTTAAATCTCTAAACAGCATATTGTATTTTTCTGAGACATTTTTTATATCATACTCCTCAGATTCATTTATGTATAATTGTAATTAATCACTTTTACTGCTGTATAATACTCCATTGTATGACATATTATAATTTATCCATTCTGTTGACTGAGTAGATTATTTCTTTCATGTTGCTCTTAGAGGCTCTGTTCCTGTTTTCTACACTACTAAGATACAGTTGTGCAAGAGTTTATACTCTAAGGGTTAGATTGCTGTGTCACAGAATGTGAAGGAGTGTCTCATTCTGCTTTGAAATTGTTTTCTTCTGATTGCAGGTGAAGTGCAGCATCAATTATGTTTTTATTGGCTATTTCTCTATTCCAGTTTCCACTCTGATATTTATTTGTTCATATAATTTTTTAATTGTGCTATTCTCTTTTTTATTACTATGTAAGATTTCTTTATTCTTGATTCTCATTCTTCATCAGTTAAATATATTGCAGATATCTTCTAGTTTGTCTATTGTCTTTTAGTGATTGGAGTTTTTTATTTTAATAGCATTATATATTTTCCTTTTTTAAAATTAATTAATTAATTAAATTGAAGAAATGATTAAAAATTTTTTTCCCCCTGTCTACCTCCCCTCTTCCCCCTACCCTCTGGTAGCCACTAGTCCATTGTCCATGTCATGAGTGTTTTTTTGTTTGTCCTGTTCATTTGTTGCTTTTAGGTTTATATTCCACATATAAGTGATATTTCAACTTTTTCTGTCTGGCTTATTTCACTTAGCATGATTATTTCAAGGTCCATCCATGTCGCAAATAGCAGTATTTCATCTCTTCTTATGGCTGGGTAATATTCCATTGTATATATGTACAACATCTATCGTAGGACACTTTGGTTGCTTCCATTTCCTGGCCACTGTGAATAATACTGCTATGAACATCAGTGTGCAAATATCTTTTCAGATAAGGGTTTTCAAGACTTTGGGGTAAATACCCAGTAGAGGGATTGCTGAATCATATGGTAGATCAATTCTTAGTTTTTTGAGGAACCTCCATACTATTTTTCATAGTGGCTGTACCAATTTGCAGTCTCACCAGCAGGGTACGAGGGTTCCTTTTTCTCTGCATCCTCTCCAACATTTGTTATTACTTGTCCTGTTGATTATAGCTATTATAACAGGTATGAGATGGTATCTCATTGTGGTTTTGATTTGCATTTCTCTAATAGCTAGCGATGTTGAACATCTTTTCATATATTTGTTGGCCATTTGTATGTCCTCTAGGGAGAAGTGTCTGTTCAG